TGTGATTCGGAGACGAGGGCGAGCACTTGGCGTTTTGGGGTTTGTTCTGTCTCCTTCTTTTGTTTTAGCTAGTCTTGTTGCCTTTGAGACACGCTCTGTTGTGGTCCACTTTTGGGACTTGTACTCTTTATTAGATAGCTCTGTACTAGTGAAGTTCTGGGAGGGATTTCTGTATATATTTATTTTGGATTGCTTCCGCCTTGTTATCCTTGTTTAGATTATTGTTTTCGCTAGTTTCTGCCCTTTTTCTCATTGCTTAATGTTCTGGGTTACGGGTTGGCTTACCTACTGGTAGGGTATAGTAGGTGCCATCATGACTCGAGAAATCGGGTCGTGACAATAAATCAGATCGCTCTTATGAAAGTACGTGAAATTCGTAGAACTAGTTGGAATTTTCAACTAGGTTACTTATGGTTACCAATTTGTATTGATCTGCATTAGGGTAATCAACCACTAGGCCTATTTTTTCTAACTCATTTCTAGGAGCATTCAGATATGGAATCAGTTGACGCTCTCCGGTTAAGGGATTGAAAACACAGTAACACCTAATTCTCTCGAACTCAAAAGAGAATCAAACCATTACATGAGCCCAAAATCTCTACGCCAAAACATAACGTCATCACAGATTGAGTGGTAGGGTTAAAGGATTTGGGAATTGTCAGATCAGTCTCCCATCATGTACTAAATAGATGAGTTGTGTAGAAGTGCCTTTTTGGCGTTGGAACAATGTTTTGGAAAATTAAGGATGAGATATCCTACCTTTGAAATTCTTGGATAGAAGTTAACATTGAACAACTTGAGCGTGGAGCGGGAGCCCAAATGATGATGAACCTTGTATGAACTTAAGTAATAAATTTATAATACTCCCCACACGAGCTATCATTTGGTATTGAAATGCCATATCTTTACATGGTATCAGAGTCATGTCCATTGGACTCTTGATACACACTCCAATAGGGCTTAGGCATGGGCTTGGGCGTGTAGGCGGGTGTTAAGAGTTCACATTGGTTGGGGAATTAACTAATAGTCTGTTTATATGGACTTGAAGTGTCATATCCTTAAATAAACAAAATTCACGAAATGATTAAACACAATTATAATCTTAAGCGGGATATAATTAATTTGAACAATATATATTATTTGTTGTTTTGATTTCTTAATGAGTGATTTATTATAGGTCCACATATCTAGTTCATTGATTGTTCAGTAGAATCTACCGAATCACTTCGGAGATTTCCCTAATAAAGTTTTATACTATTTAACACCAACTTGTTTTAGGGTTAAACATTTGTTGTCTTCGTTAATAGACTCGAAAAAGAGAATAGAAAGAATTAAGGCCATGAGAAACGGCAACAGAGTAGAGGAACACAGTGGTCTATCAACGACTGTAAAAATGCCGGATGATATAGTTATGTAGATCATCTCCCGCTGACCCTTGAAGTTTGTTGTTCAATGCAAACTTCTATCCAAGAATTTCAAAGGTAGGATATCTCATCCTTAATTTTCCAAAACATTGTTCCAACGCCAAAAAGTCACTTCTACACAACTCATCTATTTAATACATGATGCGAGATTAATCAGACAATTCCCAAAAATCTCCTTTAACCCTATCACTCAATCTGTGATGACGTTATGTTTTGGCGTAGAGATTTTGGGCTCATGTAATGGTCTAATTCTCTTTTGAGTTTGAGAGAATTAGGTGTTACTGTGTTTTCAATCCCTTAACTGGAGAGCGTCAATTGATTCCATATCCGAATGCTCCTAGAAATGAGTTAGAAAAACAGGCCTAGTGGTTGATTACCCTAATGCAGATCAATACAAATTGGTAACCATAAGTAAATGACCAAAGAGAAGATTCAGGAAGTAGTTAAAAACCGAATCTTTCTTTTCCATCCCACCACCCTATTAGGAGGATTAACGGTGTTCACTAATCGGTCTCCGGTGTACACTCGAACCTACATACCAATTAATGGTGGAGATGTTCAATCACTTCAGCATGCCTAACTTGTTTGAATTATCTTTTTAGGGTTAAACTATATGCATTTTGAATGTGAAAATAATTTTTTTTTTGGGGCAACTGCTGCATTTTTCAAGTATTGATCACGATGCTTCAACTTTGGGACAAGAATACCTCATCTGTGTCTAGAATCACAACCTTTTAGGAACATTCTCACCATGACCATTTGATCCTGCCTTATCATCCCCTAAAACATCTGATTCTTTACATTCATGAATGAAACGTATTATTTGATGTAGACGTTAAGAACTAATATCTGATGTTCCTATACTAAATCCATTAAGCAACAAGAAATCTGACACTACCTTAGTTCTTCTGCATGCTGAAAATTATACTACAGGCATTTCAAGTTTTACATCAAATCCAAAGCTTACCAAATAGACAGAATTTAAACCATTTTAGATCAAATCCAATGCTTTCATTTGTAGCCTGTGGCCTCAATCTTCCCATTGTAGAAATATTTCTCTTATTAGTGTCAACTTACTGTAAACTTGTGTCATGGTCAATCTGTCTCTTGCGGATTCAGCTGAACATGCAACACCAACCTCAAGTATGCTAACCAAGCATTCCATCTCTTCTTTCTTGATACTGCTCCAGTATTCTTTGCTGTTGGTTGCTTTACTCATCGCACCATGAAAAGTTGTTTTGTCTAGAATCTCCATAACTTTCTCTGGCAATGCTGTTTCGACAAAGTCATGGAGACTAGAGCTTGCTTGGAACAAAGTGTCTGTGGGTCTTCTTCCAGTGAATATCTCCAATATGAGAATCCCAAAACTGTACATATCTCCTAAAACGGAGACCTTACTACCCATGCCGTATTCTGCAACAAGCAAATTTAGCTTATAAATAAACCACTATTGTTAGAAGAAATTTCACATCACAGTTTTTGTTAACCTAGAAACATTACCTGGAGCTGCATAGCTAAATTAAGCTGTGAGATCTTCATCAAGAATGAGTTTCACCAAACCAAAATCACCCAAATGAGCTGTGAGATAATGAAGTGCAGAGGCCACATATTATGATATTCATTCTCTGAAGTATCATGCTTGAGGGAAGTACAGATCGTAAATGCAGCTTTTTAATACATCTGCACTCAAATTTGAAAATATTCTGGTGACATGAACCTCACCCTCTAGATTGTTAAATGATAAGTTCAAGTAGAGTAACGAAGAAAGATTTGCAATGAAGTGAGGGATTGGCCCTGATAGATTATTTAGGGAAAGATCCAAGGATTGGAGATCCGGCAAATCTTCTAAATTGGGGAATGGTTCCTTGAAGGGAGTTTCCCTTCAAATAGATCTCCTCCAAGGCCAAGCATTTTCCAAGAGTTCGTGGAATCATCCCCGAAAAATTGTTGTGAGAAAAATCAAGATAAGTAAGATGACTCCAGTTACCAATATACACCAGTAATGGACCAGTCAAAGAGTTATAAGATACATAAATATCTGTGAGGGATGAGAGAGAAAAAAGTTGTTGTGGTATAGTTCCTGTTAGGCTGTTTTCAGAAATACCCAATTTTAGCAGTTGGCTACAGTTTCTCAATGTTGAAGACATGTTACCCTCTGGGTATGCTTCCACTAATTTTGTTTCCGTAGTAGAGTAGGCGTTGTAACTGACTAGAAAGGTTGACTGTTGAATGAGGTAATGTACCTACAAACTGGTTGTCTTCAAATGGAGCATTTGTAGACTGCTGGCAGTTGGTAAGAAAATTTACCAAGTCAAGGTCATCACGCTTGCCGTATCCAAGTTGGTTACTCCAAACGTTGAGCCACAACAAATTCCGCAAGTTACCAAAACCCTTGGGTATATTTCTAGTGAAATTGTTTACAGGAAAATGAAGCTCTAGCAATTTTGAAGCATTGGCCAAAGAGGATGGTATGGAACCAATGAATTGACATTTCACCAAGTAAAGTATTTGGAAATTAGGGAAGTAAATCGGATCTGAGATTACCAGGGATGACAAATCGTACAACGGAGGAGGGAACTCCCCGGATAAGCTATTTACTGACAATCCAAGAAGCCTCAACTTGGTCAATCGAGCAAAAGAAGCTGGCACTTGTCCCTCTGATTATTGTACGATAAATACAACTCTTCTAAAGATGTAAGATTTCCAATAGAACTTCGTTAAAGATAAAACTTGATTAGGAATTTTCCCCAGAAGAGTGTTGTGTTCGAGGACAAGGCTCTTGAGGTTAACACAATGTGATAGATTAACTGGAATTTCCCTTGTTAGATAGTTGAAACTCAAATTCAGGTTTTGAATCCTTGACAGCCTGCTGAGTTGTTGAGGAAGGCATTTTCTGCAAAGAGAGGTTCCCAAGATGACATGAGATCGTACCTGCCAGCCTCAGCCCTTTGAGATTCAAGCGGATGACTCATCCATATCTCAGGCGACATTTTACTCCAGTCCACTGACAGAAATGAATAGAATAATTCCAAGAGACGAAAACTCTTGATAGATCCTCAGTTATTTGGGCCTTGAATCCAAGTAAGGCAAGTTGGTCGGTTTCATTGCCAAGAAAAGCAGGTTGGAGAGAAAAAGAGAAAAGAAACACAACATGGATAGCCAGAAAGGTGTGGAAGTTAAAACTCGCTGCGAAAATTTCCATTTTGGAAAATGTCAAGAACCAAAAGATACACCTCTCAGAAATGTTGATTTTGTTATTGGAGCACCACTGCGTGGTATAAGATGCACAATAATAAAACAAGCTGCCAATGACAACATTGCAATGTATGTGCATCTTTTTCATTCAAGCAAGCTGAAGATAAACAAATAATATTCAAGAAACTCTTTGCTAGTATATTCAGCTAAAACATACACAAATAATATACTAGCAGAGAGTTTCTGCATCCACTTATATATATTGGGAATTAAGAAAACTAAACAACAATCATCCAACGAAAGAACTAGTAAAGCATTGAATATTTTGATGCATACTATATATCCAGTACTGTCCAATTCATTCTGTTGTTTACATCCTCTCAGTTCATATTCCCCATGCAAATTTGTTGTATCCGCAACCTCATCAGCTTGTTCATCACATACCTCATTGATGATCGAGTCTCGTTGTCTGTGTATATTCGATATCAGTTCCAAGCGGCATAGCGTTGATGATTCCCACAACATCTTGATCCTCTATGGCATGATCCTTTTTATGACGTGAAATCCAATTGATTAGCAATACTTTCAGCTCTATATCCTTCAATAGTCCACCTGTTTGTTGACACAATCATTGGCTCATAAGTGACGGTAGTATTCTAACTTTTGATACAAAGAAAGAAGAGGCTATACTAATTGACCATCCTGAATTTATTGATCTTCATGTGCCATCACTATCCATAGAAGCCAGCACAATGGTCTACCATAGAAGCAAACACAATGATCGATAAACTCAAAACAATCAATCAGTATATCTTCTACTCTCTCTGTATCAAAGGTAGAATACTACTGCCGCTTATGAGACAATATATAAAATTGCACCAAGTGGACTACCAAAGACCAATCAGCTGGATTTCACGCCATAATTCAGATCTCTATGATGAAAGTACGTGAAATTTATATAACAAGATTGAATATTCAGACAACATATTGATGGTTACCAATTTGTATTGATTTAAATTCGGGAAAAGAGATGATTTTATTAAAATAATGAATAGGGTATTTATACAAGACATTGGAACATAAGGATTAGGAAAGAAATCGATACAATTATTAATTAAACTAAATGACCACCTTTACCGTTATGAATAAGGATCAAGAAAGAAAATCAATACAATCAATCAAAACAAATGACAATCTTTACGGTTATGAATAAGGATCAAGAAAGAAATCAATACAATCAATCAAAACAAATTACAATCTTTACAGTTATGAATAAGCTAAAACAGGGAAACTAAATCTTTATCATCATCATCTTACAAAAATGCCCATAAAAAATTAACTGACAGTTTTACTCTTTATTATTAAAAAGTTATTACCTAGACCTTTTATTAAATAATAAATTATACTTATGAATTTAGGACTTTTGATTTTTGATAATCACTTTATGTAATTGCATTCATGCTACAATTATTGTCAGCTCCTTTGAGCTTCCAACTCTATTGAACTCATCCATTGTCAATCTCTTCATATACTTTACATTAGTTATAAAATGTTTAATGTTACACTCCATTTTAATTCGAGGAAAACCGGCGTAAAATATTTTAGTGAATTAGGACACCTATTTTGTTAAAGTGATGCTAAGTTAACTATGAATTATTGTTTAACCTTATGGAATTCTAGGTAAAAGTTCTAATTATCCTAAAGGAAAGACACACATACTTTAAAATCCGTTAAAAATGATTAACTGGCCAAAACTTAGGTTAATTAGTTAAAAATTAAAGGAGCAAATTTAAAAGGAATATGTTATAAATACTTGATAAAATACTTGTGATATGTATCTTGAAAATAAAATCCCTCATATTTTGCAACAAATCAGGAAAGTAATAAAACCAAAGTAGATCAAGAAACCTTCATCCAAGCGTTTGAAAACTTATCCATCTTTAGTAAAAGTTCATGTTCCCCTTTTTTGGAATGGTTTAAAACTTTCAACAAAACTTGCTCATTAGACATTTCATAACCAAAAGCTTTTCAGTGAAGTGATTTAGTCAATTTTTTTTAAAAAAAAAACTTAATGGATCTAATCAAGAGGTAATTAATCTATATTTTAAAACAGTTTGCAAAAAAAAAATGAAAATTCCGCGAGACCCAACATGACTTATTTGTTAAAGACTAAAGTAGCTATTCTTAAAAAAGCAGAAAGGGCAAAGAGCAAATAAGTGTCATATTAAAAAAAAAAAAAAGTGTCATATAATACAAAGTCAAAATATAAGCAAGAACACGAACATAATAAAGTAATGACTAAAAGAGAAAAGAAAAGAGAAATTTTCGAGATTTCTTTGCTACTTTGCCATGTCTATTTGCATGAGCTTTTGAGAAGCGGAAGACACAAAGTGGTAGAGTGGATGCACACTTTCAAATCTAGTGGTGGTGATGAGTCCCGAAATGAGACTTCTTGCACGGTGAAATTCTTTTATGAAAACTCCAATTAGCTCCGAAGGTGTTCATGTAAATAAGGAGAGAGTAAGGAAATTAGTAAAACGATTCAACTTTAAATGACAGTGAACAAATCAAAAATAAAGCTAAGTAAAGTCGTAAAATGAATATGTTATCCAAAACACGAAAATGTGCAAATGTCGCAATTGGTAACTTTAAACCTAACTCAAAACAGCCAAGCCACCATTCATGTCTTTTGAGCACAAAATTAATAGTCAAGTTCAACAGGTTTAAGCTAAAAAACATTACTTTTCAATCCATGATCCTTCCACATTTTACACCGCCATCACTAAATACTTAGAAGGAAACGTATACATGCAACTCTACTATCTAATGGATTCGGGAAAGAGCTTAAAATCTATGTTTTTTGTGCACATAGAGTTGAGATAGGATCATGGTTTTTTTCACACTAATTTTTTTTTAAAATGTAACCTGCATAACATTTCGAACTAAGCAAGAACAACACTTATCTCTTTTTAACATACTTTTACCTATGAATACATGAGCTGCAAAAAAATTATCATATAAAGACATCAAATAAACATTTAACTTAGACCGACAAACTGATTTCAAGTGAAGATTTGATCACGAAACGAAATCATTTCTTAAATAAATGACGGGATATGGCTTCAGATCTATACAGAGCTCGAACAAGAAGTCAAGAACCGAGTATATTTTGTAGTCACATATAATTATAGATAAGTAAGAAACATTAATGGCAAGTCATGATTTTTCTTAAGATAGAGAATAACAGTTTAATGTCACCTGTTGCGGGACAGTGAACGAGAGCGAGTCCAACGCCTACACGAAGCTTCTCCTTAATTAAAACTTTCTTCAGACGAGCATAAAACAGTGGTTTCAGGTGTAGTGGTGCGGGGCAAAAGGCGTCCACAAAAATGAATGCAAGACCTGCTATTTATAGTGACGATCTAAGGTTCTTCTAATTGCAACTTTGGGCAGAATTCATAAGAGATTTCAAAAGTATTTTTGCTTCTTGTTGATCGAATTAACGAAGAGAGATGTGGATGAAGGAGAGAGAGGAGAGCGTCTTATTTCTTTCAGTAGGACCAAAACAGAACTGGCGATCTCTGTCATTCCTTGAAATTGCTGGAGTTAGTAAGCGATAGAGGAACGGACGAGTTATTTGCTGTTTCAGAAAATAGATTAGGGTTTATTTGGGCTATTTTTGAACATATTTTGATATAAAATATGGGCTGAAAGTTTGATGGCAGAATTTCTTTGATTTTAAAAAAAAATAAATTATTTTGGGCTTCTAACTTAATAACGGAGGAGTATAAAAGTATAGAACTTCCATATAAAATATTTATTATTTATACAAAAGAAATATTCTCTGTAAAAGTTGGATTCCAATAGAACTGCTATAGTCAAAGAATGAAATAAAAAAACACACCTGAGTAAAAGTTGTATCGAAATAGGAGGGCTTATTGAAACCAAATTTCAACATAACAAACGACAAGAGAGCAGAAGAAATATATGTTATGGAATTGCAGGAAGATGTATTCCTTGGGGAGATTATCTCCCGCTTGCCCTTGAAGTTTGTTGTTCAATGTAAACTTCTATCAAAGAATCTTAAACGTCATAAAAACACTTCTACACAATTCATCTATACAAGAAATGATGGGTCAGCATTAAGAAAATTCCACAAAATCTCTTTAAACCCAATCACTCAATCTGTGAAATTGAGATTTTAGCCTCATGTAATGGTCTGATTCTCTTTGACTTTTGAATGAGTTATGCGTTACTGTTTTTTCAATCCCGTAACTGGAGAGCACCAATTCATTACTGTGTTTACTTACCTTGTATACATTTTCAGAAATTACAGTCCTTGCTACTTTTAAAAATGCAACGTTGGAGGGTTTCCCATACTTTGGACAACTTCGGTTTAGTCCTGGAGGCATTATTATTGCTTCCATCCAACGTTAGCTTGTGTCCATAGGACGCCCTCCTATAATGTAACGACTGCTGATCAGGCGTATAATATTGCTGCAAAAACTTAGATGACATCATCAAAGGTACCAATTAGTTTCAGCATTTTAGTTCTTTTGGTGTCCTAAATGAGACTTAAAGTCAATAAATTAAAGAAGAGAGATGTAGTTGAGGGAGAGAAAGAGAGGAGAGCGTTTGATTTTTTTCTAGTAGGAAAATATGAATATTGCACCAAAACAAAACTGGTGATCTCTGTCCGTTGCTGGAGTTAGTTTGGTATATGCAACTTTGTCAACGGTATTTCCATCCAAGAAGAAATTTCATAAGGAGAATCTTCACAAGAAGAAGAGTAGGCAGTCGGAGAAAAAGAAGAAGAAGCAGGAGGACGAGGAGGAGGAGAACAAGAAGAAATGTTGTAATAGAGGTGTGACTTTTTACCCTTGAATATGACTTTAATTTGGTATTTCCAGGAGATTGAGGACATAGTTAAGCATTGTAATAGACATGGTTTCTGCATTTTGAATAAAAACTCCTTTCCGTTTTTGCACATTTCAAGTGATGATTAATCTATGACATTTTTTTCCCCATATAGAACCAAAAGTACTTGTGTTGAGCTGAGCTAAAATTATGTTTTGATGATTGACAAAATATAAAAGAAGACCAGGTCCTTAACAGCTCTCGCGGAGGAGCTAGTTTGCAGTAGTTCAAGTTACTACAACAAAAGATACATTTAGTGGCCGGCAATAGTGATACGGTACGTAGTTTCAAGTTAGGCCTTTCTTCAATGTGGTCTCCTTTCCCAGATCGCTCGCCTCAAGCTCCCACTGAACATTTAATGGCAATTGGGTTAATGTTATTGCATCAAGAGTCGTTAAAGTCTTTAACGCCATTTATATAAGATGTTGATTGTAAATACTAGTAATATTTATTATTGTTGCTAAATATAATATAGCAACAATTGTACTATTGCAGCTAAATCCTTTATTTGTTCTAGTGAGCTGATGAAATATATGTATGGTACATTATAAATGTATCAAATAAGACCAAATAGAAATAAGGGGTTTTACACAGAGTACATAAAATGTAAAGATATAGCACATTGACCTAACTCAACCCAAAATCTAGCTCATGAATGGAGGATTGTCCAAATCATATAAGCAAACCACCAGTCCAATCCTTAACATATGTGGGGTTCTTACTCACTCTAACACACCATTCACGCTCAAAGGGGAGTCCAAATAGGCATGAACTTGGCTCTAATACCATGTAAAGATATGGTACTTGGGTCTAACTTAACCTCAAAATCTATATCATGAGAGGAGGATTGCTCAAATCTAAATAGCAAACCATTTCGTTCCCCATTCAATATGGGACTCTAACGCCCAGTTTCACGCTCAACCCAACTGGAGCGTGGAACGGGAGCCCGAATGAGGAGCCCCATTCCTATATGCATTTTGAATAAAAACTTCTTTTGCTTTTTTGCAACTGCTGCACATTTCAAGTGACGAATTCATATAAATGAAATATTTTAGCATCGTCTGGGGAAGATGTTTGGCGAATCTTCCATTCAAAATTTGCTTTGTCAATCAAGCATCGTCATGTGTGTTGTTTTTATTTTGTTCCAATTTTTTTTGAACAGGACTGGATTTATGTTAGTTGCATTCTTACTTCACTGCTAGATCTATGGTCAAAACCCACAAAATTACAGTTACTCATTATACCTTCAGGCATACTTAGCTTTATAAACTTTCATTGGAGCGATGAAATCCAACTGAGAACCAATTTCAGTTTTTTATCTTTTGGTAGTCCACATGCTTATCGTTGTGATTCTCTTTATTGGCTGAGAAGCGATACAAAGAGAGAAGAGGCTATACTCATTGACCGTCCTGAGTATTTTGATCACAGACTAACATAAATCCAGTTCGTCCTCACCATATCCTAGGATTGGGAAATACAAATAGAAATACGAGGCTAGCATGTTTGGATTACCTCTTTAAAAATAGCTTATAAGTTGAGAGAACCTTTTGTTTGATGATATAAGTATTTTATTTTAATGTAATGGAAAATGGGTTCCCCAAATTAAGGGATTCAACGACTTGTGCACTAAAGCTCACGATGTGGATTTGAACCACTGCTTCTCCTTATTGTCGTGAGCGGGTCTGTCGTCCTCCTCATTATAGTCCTCCTAGAATCCAGAGCATTTCGTCGAAATTTCCCCATTATTGTTAACGCAATATATACGGCTTGCGCAAAAAATTAACTATATATTCATAATTATTGGAAGCAATTATAGATATATGACAAGAGCTGTAAAAGTTCTATTACATCTTTCCTAACTCCTAAGACATATAGTCGAGATTAGTGAATGTCGCTATTTGCGGCTTAAATTGAGGAATGACAAGTGCCTAATCTGCAAATATAACTACGATTACATTTGTTCCAAGTAGGGGTGTTCACGGGTTGGTTTGGATCGGTTATTGGTCAAAATCAAAACCAAACCAACTTAATCGGTTTTAAAATTATTAAAACCAAACCAAATCAAATATAATATACATTTATCGGTTTGGGTTTGGTTTGGTTCGGTTATTAACCATACACAAAAATAAAAGAAATAATTCATTTAAAATGTGAAAAAAATGACAACAATCCATATAAAACGAAAAATAGTTAGAATGACTTAAATTACTAAACTTTCAATCACTAAATTTACTATCAATAAAGCTTTAAAATTCACTATATTGGCCTAGAAGGAAGAGACAATAACATTTTCAGTTCCACAAAGAATTGACATAGACACTCATATACATGAAATCAATAAGATAAATGTTTTATCTTGGGCATTTTTGCTTTCAATAAGTAAATTATAAAGAAATTTTAATGAAAATATGTATAAGATCTTTAAAATTGTTTATAAAAATAATATATTAAGTATGTATATTAATAAAATATATGTATATAATTCATCGGTTCGGTTCGGTTATTTCTTCGGGTTTTTTTAGAATAAAACCATAACCAAACCAAATACTATCGATTTTCAAAAATCTAAAACCAACCAAACCAAACCCAAATAAAATCGATTTTATTTTATCGATTTGGTTTGGTTTTTCGGTTTGGATCGGTTTTTATCCAAACCGTGAACACCCCTAGTTCCAAGAAAGGAGGAATTATTAATAAATCTATCTATATATAATAGGAGAAGAAAAAGTGACACGTGTCAGCACCACAAAATTTCTCATTTATTTAGTTTTAAAAAATAAATTTAAAAATTTAAAAATAAGTTAAATTTAAAAATGTTTTTTTTGAAAAACTACAACTACGATTTCTTTTTCAAAATAGTTACCATAGTTTTTACATTTAAAAAAGTCAAAGATGAAAAAAATAAAAATAAAAAATAAAATATATATATATATATAAATATAAAAAAAAGGACGGATGAAACCCCATTATCCCATTTTCATCCACTTCTTTTCATCTTAAAAACTGCAGTTTTTTTTATCAAAAGAAAAAAAGTTACTGTTTTAAAAAGACAAGTTGAAAAGAAAAAAATTTACTGTTTTAAAAAGACAAGTTGAAGTTTTTTTTTATCTAATTAAAACTGTAAAATTGTTTGTTTGCTTACGATTTTTGAATTGGGACTCCTTTTTAATAGGGAACTTTCACAATTTTTGAATTGCAAATAACTACCCAAAAACTGCTTTTTTTTTTTTTTTTGCTTTATTATTTTTGAAACCGCCTCCTCTTGAAGAGAGTAGATATAAAGGGAAAAATAATTATTTTGTTCTATTATGTTCTTCACAAATTTGTAGAGAAGA